CAAGTAGTCAATGTACTTGTTCCTCCAATCAAAGCTTTAACTCGTTGAGTTTACTTTGATGTGGACTTCTTATATCACCGACTTCATGAGCTGTATGGCTATTCCCGAATTAAATTCATCATAATCAACCGATGACCCCAAGTTAGCCAGAGCATCAGCCTCACTATTTTGATCTCGGGGCACGTGTTTAGGGTGCATTCCTTGAATTGATGAAGTATTACTTGTAACTTGTCTAAATACCTTCGCATGCATTCCTTTTTCACTTCGAATCTCCCATTGACTTGATTTACCAAGAGGAGGGAATCACACTTAGCTTCGACCACCTCGTCCCCAAGGTTTTTAGCCAATTTGAGACCTAGAATCATGGCCTCATACTCGGCCTCATTGTTAGTCAATTTCATAGTTCTAATAGACTTCCCAACGATATTCCCCATAGGAGGCTTCAACATAATACCGAGCCTGGACCCCTTTGCGTTTGAGGCGCCGTCCATAAAAAAGGTCCAATTCCCAAGGTAGTCCTCGAGGCTAACAATAATTCTCTTTCGATTTCGGGCACTAAGGCCGACGTAAAGTCGGCCACGAAGTAAGTCAAAATTTGAGATTTTATGGCAGTTCGGGGTCGATACTCACTATTGTACCCGTTGATTTTGACGACCCACTTGGCCAACCGGCCTGAGAACTCGGGCTTGTGCATGATGTTCCTCATTGGGTAAGAGGTTACGACACATATGGAGTGTTATTGAAAGTGCGGTTTTATCTTTCTGGAGGCGTTTAGCAATGCAAGCGTCAATTTTTCCAGGTGAAGATAGCTTGTTTCGGCCTCGCCTAGAGTTCCACTGACATAGTAAATAGGAAATTTTGTACCTTCCTCTTCCTGGACTAAGACTCCACTTATCGATGCCTCAGAACTGCCAAGTAAAGGTACATCTATTCATCCGCCTTCGTAATATGGAGTAGGGGGCTCGAGAGGTACCATTTGAGTTCTTCCAAAGCTTGTTGGCATTCCGGGGTGCAAGAAATGTTATTCTTCTTATTCAATAGTGAGAAGAACCGATGGATTTTTCCCAAGGACCTCGATATGAATCGGCCCAAGGCGGCTAAATGCCTGATCAACCTCTAAACGGCCTTAACATTGTCCACCATGGCGATGTCTTCTATGACTTTGATTTTGTCGGGATTGATACATATCCCTCGATTGGATACCATAAACCTAAGGAATATTCTGGATCCAACTCCGAATGCGCACTTTTTCGGATTCAACTTCATATTGTATCTCTTTAACATGTCAAAGGTTTCGTGCAAGTGGTTCAAATGGTCCTCTGCTCGCATGGACTTGACTAACATGTCATCAATATAAACTTCTATTGATTTTCCTATTTGTTCTTCAAACATCTGATTTACTAGGCATTGATAGCTGGCACCAGTGTTCTTTAATCCAAATGGAATTACATTATAACAATAGGTACAAAACTTAATGATAAAAGACGTTTTTCCTGATCGCCTGGGTCAATCCGAATTTGGTTGTACCCGGAAGAAGCATCGAGAAAACTAAGTATCTCGTGCTCGACTGAGATGTCGATCATCTGATCGATGTTAGGCAAATGAAAAGAATGCTTAGGGCATGCCTTGTTCAGATCTTTATAATCCACACACATTCTTAGCTTATTTCCTTTCTTAGGTACTACCACTATGTTGCTTACCCAGTCTAGGTACTTAACTTCCCGAATTGATCCTATTTTAAGGAGTGTAGATACCTCGTCCTTGATGAATATGTGCTTGACTTCGAATTGTGGTCTCCTTTCCTTCTTAACCGGGTGGAACTTCGGGTCTAAACTCAGCTTATGAGTGGTTACCTCTGGCGGGATCCCTATCATATCAAAATGGGACCAAGCGAAACAATCTATGTTAGTTCTAAGAAATTCAATGAGTTTTTTAATGAGCTCGGGAGCTAACCCCGCGTCCAGGTGTACCTTCCTATCAGGTAAGAGTTCGATCAATATGACTTGCTCCAGCTCCTTGACTGTCGATTTGGTAGCATCGGAATCATAGGTAGCAATGAACGACCTAGGAATTTCGTAATCATCCTCCTCGCCTGCTCCTCACTCTTCTAGTTCGTTTTGGGCTAGTATCAGTGATTTATATTTAATTGCTTCCTTCCTGGTCGGCTCCTTGTTATTTGACGTCAAGACCATGGGCACTGGGATCATCTCATTGACTGGGAACATTTATTTTGTTGTCGACTGCTCTCCGTAGAACGTCTTGATTCCTCCTAGCGTAGGGAACTTCAGTGCTTGGTGTAATGTTGAGGGTACTGCCCTCATGTCGTGAACCCATGGCCTTCCGAGTAAGGCGTTATACCTCATGTCCCTTTTGATCACGTAGAATTTTGTATCTTGAATTGTACCAGCGGTATTCACTGGCAGGGTTATTTCTTCTTTAGTAGTTTCGCATGCCATGTTAAATCCATTCAACACTTGGACCAAAGACATTATTTGATCTTGCAACCCCAACTGCTCTACGACCCTTGATCTGATGATATTGGCCGAGCTTCCTAGATCAATCAAAACATGTTTAGCTCAAGATTTGTTGATAAAGTATAGATATTACCAGTGCATCATTATGAGGTTGTAGGATGCCCTCGACATCCTTGTCACTGAACGAAATGGTTCCCTCCGGGATGTAATTTCGGGTGCACTTTTCCCTCGTGATGGATACGTTAGTGCACTTTATCATTGGGCCCTGAGTGACGTCGACCCCTCCAATGATCATGTTGATGGCGTGTTGAGGTTATTCTTGGTCGGTCTGTTTGTTGGAGTCCTTGTTCCTGAAGTGGTTTTTGGCTCGATCACTCAAAAACTCTCGGAGGTGCTCGTTATTGAATAACCGAGTAACTTATTTTCTCAATTGTCGGCAGTCCTTGGTCCTGTGGCCATGAGTTCCATGATACTTACACATTAGGTTAGGATCTCTCTGGGTAGGATCAGACTGCAATGGTCGAGGCCACTTGGTTTCTTTGATACGCCCAATAGCCGATATGATGTTGGCTGCATCAATGTTAAAGTTGTACTCTGATAATCTTGGTGCTTCCCTTCCCCCGAGAGGCCTATCAAAACCATTCTTTCTCATCAGACCTCGGCTATTGGCCCCACGGTTGCTTTTCTTCTTGTTCCTCGTGGGGTTACACCCGGGCCATTCCTACTACGATATACATTGTATGGTTGATACCGATATCGAACCGGCCTTGATTCATGATCAATGACTCTCTTAGTCTTGTCGTATGTTCTAATGAGATAAACGGACCCAGAAGGGACTTCGAGTTTGTCATCCTCGACTCTAATTTTTGACTGGTCTTGTTGTGGACGTCGGCCTAATTTACCGCCGGGTACTCTACCAAATTTTGTTTCAGCTGCTAAGAAGCCAAGGAGCTTTGAGGGTTAAGTCCTTGACTGAATGCCTAAACGGACCAATCGTTCATAACCGGAGGCAAGTCCATTTGTTCCATTTGAAACCTTGACACGAACTCCCTTAGCATCTCATTGTCTCTTTGCTTAACCTTGAAAAGGTATGATTTACTGGTCTCGACATTGATGGCCCCATCATGAGCATTTACAAAAGCATCCGCGAGTATAGCGAATAAATCAATGGAATTTGGGGGAAAGTTGTGATACCATATCATCGCTCATTTTGACAGAGTTTCTCCGAACTTCTTTAATAACACTGACTCGATTTCATCGTCCTCCAAGTCGTTACCTTTGGTGGAGCATGTGTAGGAGGTTACATGCTAATTTGGATCCATGGTTCTGTTATATTTTGCAATATCGGGCATACAAAACCTCTACGGAATTGGTTTTGATGCCACGCTCGGAGGAAAATGCTTTTGGAAAAATTTCTTGGAGTCCGGGCCTTTCAATATTGGAGGCGTTCCTTGGATTTGACCAACCCGGGATTTATATGTCTCTACCTTCTTGTCGTTTGCCTCAATTTTTTGTTCACTTGATTCCACCCATTTCGTTAATGCTTCTAGCATTTTCATTACTTCAGGGCCGACACCGGACTCAGCTTCGCCCGACCTTTCTGTGATCTGCTCATTTCTTCGGGTGTTTTCTTAGGACGGTTCAGGCTCAACTCTGCTAAGTGCGCGACTTTGATTTTACAGTTGCACTATCATTGCATGTTAAGCCTGCGATATTTCAAAGATCAATCATAGACCAACCCCGTCGCCTTCGCCTTCCGGCGCTTCTCGAGCCGTTGGTCAGGCTCCTTCGTGAAACGTTGTTCTTGTTGTTGGTAGGTAGGTCGGCGTCGATGGTCACCTGTGAGTTAGCATCGACTGGGTCTACAATTGAGACTCTGTTGGGATCAGGAGGGGTACCTCATTGCTAGGCACCAGATTGTTGTTATCGCCATGATGGCCAAACTCAACCTCAATATTCAAGTGAGCGTCGTGAACCACAACAACAACAACCACAACAATAACCACAACAACAACAATAATATACCTAGTATTATCCCACACTGTGGGATCTGGGGAGGGTAGTGTATATGTAGACCTTATCCTTACCTTGTGAGGATAGAGAGGTCGTTTCCAATAGTTCCTCGGCTCAGGAAAGCATAAGCACCACATTAATGAAAATATAGACATGAAAGGACAGTTCAAGTGAGAAGATTGAGAATTTGACATTTTTAAGTTGACCTGAAATTGACCCCTTAAAGAACAAGTGTAAAATAGAGTTATGGAGATTTGTGTCAAACTACCACTATTATCCTTATCCCCACGGTGGGCGCTAAACTGTTTACTCTTAAAACGAATAACAATTAAATTTGTATGCGATTTTAAGGATATGTGGATTGATTCAATACAGGCAATCAAGAACATTAGATAAACAAATTAAAGATAAAATAAATATCCAAACCAGTTATGATGTTGACTCAGGGCTCGAATTTAAGCTTAGTAGAAGTTTCTCCCTCGACCGGACCCTCGATTCGAAGCCAAATGTATATGAAAAACTATGATTAAAATGACAACCTTTCAATAGCAGAGAAATAAATTTGTATTGTCTTGATATGCATGTTACAATATATTTATTGAACAAGAAACTTTTCCTTTATATACTAGGGGAGTTTTACCCCTAGTACAATTCTAAAAAAGGTAAAGATTCTCATTGTATATCAACCACAGACTACCGGCATCGGGCGAGATCCGCATCGTGATATTCGGTTGGGTGCGGATATCACGGCCCTCTGTTAGTCGTGTGCAGCCGTTTGTAATGCTTTCCAAGGTCTTGGAGTTCGTTCCGGGTTCAGGGGGTGTTGTCTTATTAGGCCCAGTAGCGAGCACCCCGTTCCAACTTCGAACCAAAGGGTTCTTAGATTTAGTCTTTATCTCATACATTCATACTTCGTTTTATTCACTGAGAACTCGGGGTGTGTGTTGGCCCTAAGTTCACCCTTATACAAATATTTCTCACAAAATAGTTTTAGAACAAAATATGTAAGATTACAACTCAAATCGCCTGTTACAAGATCAAGAAAAACTAAACTAGTTTAATGGCTAGATCTAGGTTCTTCAATTTGTCTTGATCTAGGTTATCCAATTTGTCTTGCTCTTGTTGTTGCAATATTACTGCTCACGTGAAGGATCTCTCGGTTTTCTTTATGTAGGTGCGCCAAAACGTTTTGCAAAATGAAACCATACTATACATATGGATTAGTCATTAAAAATACCGTAAAATTAAAGAAACCAACAGAAATACTCGTAGAATATGAACATCCTCTCCAACTTCCTAGCTTTGGCAAAATCTTCCACAAGGATAAGGACAAGATATTTCTTGGAATCTAATACTCTCAACAAAGAACCACTCACCAACTGCTTGAGCAATAGCCTGTATAATAAATAATATAATGAGCAAGTCCCTGGAGAAATTTTAGAAAAATAAAAGGAAATTAAATTTAACGATTAATGGTAAAAAGCAAACATAAAATGACCTTATTAGCCAATGTAGGGGAGTTGGGATAGAACCAATAGCTGGGTGTTTCAATGCCTTTGTGGGAATGGCATGAGGTTATAAAATATCCACTTAGTGAAGTTGGTCTTATTCCATTTATAACTGCCCTTATAAATATTACCCTGAAATCTGAAAACAATAACTCAACATCAAGAGAGAGAGCGCTTTAATTAAACTAAGAGGGGATTAATTGTTACCCTCTTTTAATTTCATTACATGAATAAGGTTAAAAGAGAATAATATTAATTAACCCCATGAATTGGTACTGACCTTGGAAAGTTTGAATTTGACTTGGTGAGCATACATTTATGTCTTTCTTGCAATATGTCCACTCATTATAAGGAACCAAACTGTTGTTTATCTATATTTTTAAATATCAATCAAAAGGCGAATCCATTTACAATCCTAAGGGAAATAAAAGAAATAAAAATAATTTGGTTATAATAAATAAATATTAGTAACAAGAATATATATTTCTAACCTGCCAAGAGTCATAAGCAGAATTAATAATGAAAAGTGGTGTCCGAATATATTGTACTACATATTCAGGAAAGAAGCACTGCCAAATCATCGTATTGTGTATTAGTGAAAAGTTATACAAAATATAAAAATAAAGGGGCCAGTTTTCTTACACAAAGAAATTGCATGATCTTACCAAACTTGGATCTAAGTAGGAGCTGGTGCAAGATCGTGGCAGGTTCTTGCTTGATCCCTAATTAAATCCCAAAACACAGTGAGAAAGTATATATATATATATATNCAATGTAACAACTCTTTCATATAGCTGCTCAATATGTGATTCCCCTAGGATTGTTTTTCTCCATAAATTCATATAATTAAGAATCAGCATTAACATGAATGTTAAATATATATATAACAAAAGTTCTCACGTTTCATGAATAAAACTTACATATTTACAAAGAAACCAGCATCAGAAATGCATTTTACTCTAGCACTCGGGGAGAAAAAACTTCTAAACTTGTCACAGTGTAGTATTGCAGTTAATCCCCCTGCTGAAGTTCCACTCAAAATAGCCTAACATGAAATTATATAATGGAAGAAGAAGTTAAAGACTGTTTGGCCATACAAAAATTTTCATTTTTTAAAAAAGAAATTTACTTTTTTTGAATCTAACATTTGACCATGAAATTTTCAATCTCAACTTCAAGATGAATTTTAGAATTTTTCGAAAATTTGAAAAACTCCAAAAGACCTTTTTTAAAATTTTCACTTCAAATCACTCACAAAAATTCAAAAACAGCCCAAAATTATATTCATGTTCAAACACAACTCTAACTTTCAAATATCATCTTCGCTTAAAATTTGTTTTTACTTTTTTCTGGAATTTTATAATTCTTATGCCCAAACGCCCAATATGTTATTTAGTCGATTTCTCTTTCTATTATAGTACCAATTAAGTGACAAAGTCGACGTGACTGACATATAAGTTGACATTAATAGCATATTTAATTTCAGAATAAAAGAGCTCTTTTTTCCAAATAAATTTGTAAAGAATATACATTTTCAGCTTTCCACATTCCTTTGTATAATAAATCCTCCATGATAGCAAGGAAAACTCTTGCCCCTCTAAAGTGGAGTCCTGTAACCTAATTAATTAAAAAAAATGTCATTTTCAGTATAAAAAAGTTGCTGCAATCAACACAAAATTTCTAGCGTTAATATGAAAAAATACTTTTACTTACAGGGTCAACTTCTTGCACGTCACCGGTAAAAGATGCCCCATCGCAATACTTAACCTTTACTCTGTTCCAGTTAAAAAAGTCTGAAAATTTTGACAAAATTACATTTTTATTAGATAGGAATTCTAAAAATATCTCAACGTGAAAAAAAAAATAATATTTTTTTGGCACGTAACCTAATAGCTACCTGGATTTTCGTTAGGCTTGTTGCTTAGAATTCCTTAAAAATAATATTGATCCTCCATGTGTATTGATGATCCATACCTGGTACCAGTACGTTCGATGCACTCTGAGATCGTAGAACACCAACCCCCTCCCTAAATATTTTTACGCTGTCAGCGTATATATTTAATTCCAAAGAAACAAAAAAAATGAAAAGTTTAACTCTAACCTCAATGTGAACAAGCCAATTATTAACTCCATAGCCACTTCCCCTATCAATCAGGTATGCAGGAGCACTTCCGTCCAAACAAACTGAAATTATTACCATACAAAAGAGTAAAATAATATTAATAAGTTTTAAGTTTTATTTTTCTATGATTCAAAATCAAATTTAAAAATTAAATTGAACTCTTACCGGCTCCCTTTCCAATTGCATTGTGAAGTATAGTCGTATTGACTATTAAAAAATCTGCACTGACTTGAGAAACAGTCAAAAGAAGTACTATAAAAATTAGGAACATTTTGCTCTGATGTGATTTTCTTCTGCTCCTTTAATAATTAGTTATATAATGTTATGAAGGTTTCTGAAATCTTTTTAATCTATTGTAACAAAAGTTACAGCACCTTTGGCTATGTATATAAAGAGGTTTCACAATGAGTTCAGTTAATGTTCTAAAACAAGCCACGTGGTTTTCTTGAAAAATAATGCAATGGCCCATAACGATATTAACTTACCTATAAATACAGTAAAAATTTATTGAAGACAAATTTTTTGTGACCAACCAGGATTTGTGGTGAAGTGGCAAGTACTCATTCATCCTTAACCAGAAATTATGGGTTTGATCCCTGGGTATGGAGTCGTCTTTATTAGGGAATAACCGAACACAAAAAAAAAAGACAAAATTTTGTGAGTATTAGCTAGTCAACTATTCATTTCCAAAAACCTTACCGACCATTATTTTTAGAGTTTAACTGTACGACCCGGCCGGTCGTTTTGTGTATTGTAGCCCGTTCCCCTATCTATTGTCTAGTCTATACTTATTTGTGGTTATGCGACTTGTTGGGGTGGTTGGATTTGTTTCGGGTAGGTCTTGGAGTGTATTGGGACACTTAGTCCCAAGGTTAGAAGCTTAAGTTATAGAAGTTGACTGGAGTTCAATTTTTGTGTAGACGACTCCGCAATGGAGTTTTGGTGGTTCCAATAGCTTCGTATGGTGATTGTGGACTTAGGCATATGTCTAGTTTTGGATTTGGAGGTCCGTAGGTTTGTTTGGTGCTTTTTGGAAAAAGTTGAAAAGTTGAAGGTTTGAAAGGTTGAGAGGTTTCATCAGGAGTTGACTTTATTGATATCGGGTTCAGATTTTGATTCCAGAAGTTGGAATAGAGTTGTGTCATTTGGGACTTGCATGAGGTCATTGATAGTTGATTTGATATGGTTCGGCATGAGTTTGGAAGTTGAAAGTTCATTAGACTTGAATTGAGGTGCGATTCATAGTTTTGATATTGTTTGATGTGATGTGACGCCTCGAGTAGGTTCGTGTTGTACTTTGGGATTGGTTGGTGTGTTTGGACTGGGTCCCGGAGGCCTCGGGTGTGTTTCGATGGGTAACAGACCATTCCACCTTATTTTTGGACTGTTGATATTCTCATGTCCGGTTTCCTTCTTCGTGTTTGCGACATGGTAGTCACGTTTACAAAGGGTTAAAGAGGGTTGGGCAGTCGCCCTTCCGAGTTCGCGAAGCAGCCAAGTGCTGAGAGGAGCTTAGCCTAAGCGTTCGCGAGGTCTATGCCGTGTTCGTGAAGGCTTGGATGTTTGCTTCATCGCGTTCGTGATATGGAGAATGCGAATGCTACAGCCTTTTTCGGGGTAAATTATTTTTGTTCTTCGCAAACGCGATGAGGGGCCCGCGTTCGCGATGAATATGCCTAGGCGGATCTATTTAATACTAAGAGTTTGAGTTATTATACGACATTTTGAGATATAGAGCTTGGTATTGGGCGATTTTAGAGGGGATTTTTATGATTTGAATCGGGGTAAGTATATTTGACTCAGATTTATTATTATTTCATGATTTTAACCTCGACTTTAGTGTTTGATTAGTGATTTGAATTGGAAAAATTATGATTTTTGTAAAAACTTTTCTAAAACATAAATTGAGGACTTGAAGGTTGATTTGAGGTCGGTATTTGATGATTTTGGTATGGTTGAACTCGTAATTGAATGGATGTTCAGAATTTATGAGTTTTGTCAGGGTCTAGGTGCGGGCCCGAGGTTGACTTTTTGATTTTGATAAATATCAAAGCTTTATTGTTTGAAATTGTTTCCTATGGCATTATTTGACTATATTAGGTTATTTGTGACTAGATTCGACTCGTTCGGAGGCCGATTGTCGTGGGAAGGGTTAGTGTATGGATTTGCGCATTTTGAGGTAAGTAACATATCTAAACTTGGATTTGAGAATATTTAACCCTAGGAACTATGTTATGAGAGGTATTGGGGTGATGTACGTGCTAAGCGATGGGCGTGGGTGCATGCATCAGAGTATTCCTGATTAGAAGTGGAGTATTCCTGATTAGGAGTATTCCTGCATCAGATTTGTTATATCCGTATTTTTCCTACTTGTTTAATTATTTGAGTTCTGATTCATATTAGAAAACATGCGTAGGTTATGTGCTGTTTGTTTGAGATTTGATAGGGTTATTCTTGCTATTTCTAAGCCATTTGCCTTAATTGTACGCATACTCTCAGTCATGATGCGATATTCATGTATGATATTTCTTTTTTGATTCCTCACATGTTGTTGATGCTTCATATGTGTAACATGGTTGAATTAGGTACTGTGAGTTGTGGTTAATTGAGACCTGACTGGTTGATGGCTAAATTTGGGCCATAGAGCTGATTTGGTATTGGTTTTGAGGTGATATGCCATGCTCATATTAGGCTAAGCGTTATTGATTTGGGGTGACGCATGTACCAGGACTCACTATTGGGCTATATGATTATGATTAGCTCTTAGGTAGGATCCGCCCCTCCGGAGTCTGACATGCTAGTAGTGGGCGCACACACATTATTTTATATGCGTGCTTTGATGATTGGCATTTATACCAGACACCCGTACAGTGCTAAGTGTTGCTGTGTGGTTATTCATCATGATTTTCTTGTAATATTATTGATTTTACATGTATATTTTACATGTAGGTATATAATGTACTTTTCTCATGTTAGCTGGTAAATAAAATATTTTATCTTTATTGGGCTTTAACTGTTATACTTGAAAAGCATGTCTAAATTCCTGAAATGAGAACGAGCTGAGCATGATGTTATTGAGTTATTCGCTTATACCATCTTCTTTATGATCTGAGCTGTTACTGGTTATTAATATTGGTCTTTGATTGTTTCTTCTAAGCTCGTCACTACTTTTAGCCCAAGGTTATACTTGTTTCTTATTGAGTACGTAGGGCCGGTTGTACTCATACTACACTCTGCACTTCCTGTGCAGATCTAGGTACTTTAGGACGAGGTGATTTCTAGAGTTGAGTTGCTACTAGCTTTTGGGAGTCTATGAGGTAGCTGCTATGTCATCCGCAGTCTTTGAAGCTTTTTTCATTTATTTTTTATTTGTTACTTTATGTGTTGTTCTCTTATTTTCCGGTGCAATTGCTAAATCCGCCCAATTCCCCCTTCATGTATGGTTACCTGATTCTATGGAGGGGCATATTCCTTTCACTGTACTGTTCTATTAATCAGACAATTGTATTGAGGATTTTGGCTTGTATTTTGATATCCACCAGTGCTAATGTGCTCATTGACACCAGATCTTTGGGATGGTTATAGCAGTATTGTTGTTGTTTTCATCAGATATTTTAAGATATTTCTGTTGTTTAGTTTATTAAACTATGTTTACTCAAATTCGCTTTTGTTGCATGACTGTTGGCTTGCCTAGCAAGTACTGTTAGGCGTCGTTGCTGTAACGACCCGACCGGTCATTTTGCTTTTTAGATCCCTGTTCTCCTAAATAGGACTCCCCGTATGTGCCTTTGCTATTTTGTGACTTGCAGGGATAGTTAGTTCGGGTTTGGAAGGGCTCGGGTTGAAATCGGAACACTTAGTCCCTTAATACTGGCTTTAAAGGGTTAAGTTTTATTTGGGTCAACATTTTTAGTAAATGACTTCGGAATCAAGATTTGACGGTCCCAATAGGTTCTTATGATGATTTTGGACTTGGGCGTGCGTCCGGATCGAGTTTTGGATGATCCGGGAGTGTTTCGGCGCCTAAAGTTGAAAGTTGACTTATTTAAGGTTTAAAAGTTCTTTAAATTTGGTTTGGAGTAGGTTTTGATGTTATCGAGGTCTATTTGGTGATTTAATACTAGCACGCAAAATTTGGTATCATTCCGAGTAGTTTAAATATGATTCAGCGCGTTCAGAGCAAGTTGGAAGAACTTGAAGTTCATAAGTTGATTCGATTCGGTTTGAGGCGTGATTCTTAGTTTTGGTGTTGTTTTTTGTGTTCCGAGGGTTCGAGCGAGTCCGTCTCATGATTACAAACTTTTTTATATGTTTGTACGATGCCTCGAAGGCCTCGGGTGCTACTCAGACAATGCACATATCGAGTTAGAGTTTGAAAGGGGCTGCTGGTGCACCAGTTCTGGTGTGCCCGCACCTGCGAGCTTTTGGCCGCAAGTGCGAGCTCTTGGCCGCATAAGCGGCTTTGGACATGTGGCTAGTGATCCGCAGAAGTGGAGGAACATCCGCAAAAGCGACCTCGCTTCTACGATGAGGAGTCCGCATGTGCTAGAAGAGGCTGACCAGGACAGGACCGCAAATGCGCTCCACTTTCCGCAGAAGCGGTACTGCAGAAGCAGGAGCCCATCCGCAGAAGTGGAGCCTGCCATCCTGGGATAGATTTTTCGCACTACACCTGCGATAGATTTTCCGCAGGTGCAGTGCTGCATATGCGGCCCTAGGTCCACAGAAGCGAAAATGGTGTAGGCAGCGAGGTCCATTTAATACGGGACTTAGGCCATTTTGGTTCATTTATTTCACTTCTTGGGCGATTTTGGAGCTTCTTAGAGGGGGATTTCCACCTAGCTATTGAAGGTAAGAAATTCCTACCCAATATTAGTTAAATACATGGATTATGGGTAGATTTTAACATGTAAAATTATGAAAATTATGGGTTTAGTCGAAAAACCTAGGTTTTGATACAAATTAGATTTAACCAAGAAAATGATTACGGAATTGGGTGAAAATTATATATTTGAGTTCGTGAGGTTATGGGTAACATTTATCTTCGAAACCTTTCGGAATCCGGGCACGTGGGCTCGTGGGTAAATTTTAAGAATCTTTCAATTCGTGTTGGGTAATTACTCTAATAGTTAAATTATGAACTTTTGAACATATATTGATTAATTTATATAATATTTGACTAGTTTCGGGTCGTTTGGCACCGAGTTAAGGATTTAACGCATATTTGTGGATCGAAAGTGAGCTTGAGAACGAGGTAAGTCTCTTACCCAACCTTGTAAGAGGGAACTCATCCCCTTAGGTGTATTCCTTGTTGTGAATTATTTGTGTGGTGAGCTACG